ATGCTAGAAACATGTTAACAAAAATAGGTTAGCAGCATGTTAACATAAAGGTAAACAGGCTGGCAGTATGCTAATTCATACTGACAGCATGCTAGAAACATGTTAGCCACACATTAAAATGCTAGAAACATGTCAACATATCAAATATGCTAACAACATACTCATTCATGCTGGAAACTTGGTAACTTTGTTTGAAATACACATTAAACATGCTAGAAACATGTAAACATAATTAAATAGGTTAGCAGTGATTAAACTATATGCTAGTATGCTAGTCTTGTGATTAAAAGCTACTTCTTCCTAGCTTCTCAAAGTAACTTTGAACCTTCAGACCTGGCTTTATCATCAAACTGTACACATCTAGTTAGAATTCTTCAGCTGTTGTGCTTCATCTAAACTGATAACCATCTGAAAGCAGAGGCCTGATACTTGTAAAATAAAATATTAAATGAAAAATGTGATCCATGAAAAGTTATTTCACGATCGTATAAAGCGTAATGAAATTCCTCACATTCATCCTCTGTTGTGAACAGGTTCAGCCCATCCGTGCATGCAGAACAGCCGTTTTGTGAAGCTCAGTTTGCCAATTAATGATTGCAACTTGTTAAACATGGTAAAAATAGTTAAAATAGATTTAAAGTGTGTTAACAGCATGCTAATTTAATATTAGCAACATGCTAGAAACATGTTAGCCATAGATTACACATGCTGGAAACATGACAACATATCAAATTTGCTAACAGCATGCTCATTCATGCTGGAAACTTAGTAACTTTGTTTGAAATATGCTAGCAACATGTTGAATCATGATGGTAAAACATGTTAAACATGGTAGTAACATGCTAGTTAAACATGCCCCTGCTAAAAAACCCAGCTTAAACCAGACTAGGCTGGTTGGCTGGTTTTAGCTGGTTGACCAGCCTGGAAGTGGCCAAAACCCCTCTAAAACCAGCCTGGTTGACCAGCTAAAACCAGCCTAGGCAGGTTTAAGCTGGATTTTTCAGCAGGGGCTAATTAATATTCACAGCACACTAGAAACAAACTAGTTATGCTAGAAACATGTTAACAAAAATACATTAGCAGCATGTTAACATAAAGGTAAACAGGCTGACAGCATGCTAGAAACATGTTAGCCACACAATAAACATGCTAGAAACATGTTAATTACATAATTAAATAATTAAATATGTTAGCAGCATGCTAAAACATTCTAACCTTTGTCATTAAAAAAAGTTAACTTCTTCCTAGCTTCTCAAAGTAACTTTAAACCTTCAGACCTGGCTTTATCATCAAACTGTACACATCTAGTTGGAATTTTTCAGCTGTTGTGCTTCATCTAAACTGATAACCATCTGAAAGGCCTGATACTTGTAAAATAAAATATGAAATGAAAAATGTGATCCATGAAAAGTTATTTCACGATCGTATAAAGCGAAATGAAATTCCTCACATTCATCCACTGTTGGAAACACGTCCAGCCCATCCGTGCATGCAGAACAGCCGTTTCACAACACTTAGCTAGGTTAGCGTGAGCTCGCTTAAATAATGCATGAGCTGAGACCAGTTCTTACCACTTGCAAACATTTATGCATAACATTTATCCTTAATTGTATGAATAAGAGTTTAATGACTTTGATTTGGGCCTATTTTATGTGTAAACTGTCCTCCAGAGCTGGTTTTATAAGCGCCTCTCCTGGTCTTCAGGCCTCCAGCAGCAGTGAATAACAGCTGTACAGCATGGGGAATGCGGTGTTGGGGGAACTTAAGGAGAAATTAAAATAACGTTTGTTAGATGTTAGCATCAGTAGGATAGTCTCATGCTGTGGTCACACTTGAGTTTGTGCGTTCAAATGTGAAAATGGGCGGCATTGAACAAGACCATTAGACATTAAACTAAGCGAGCGATTGCTCCATGTTTTAAACTCCTGTCCAGAGAGGTCATGTTTTGATCATCGATTGGTCTCATGCAATCATGTGACGCGATTTCGCAGGTCAGAGGTCACCAAGCTCACCAAGCACAAAACTTGTCTCACAAGCTTGCGTTTCCGGTGTGTACGAATGGAAGTCTATGGGGAGAAACGTGCAGATGTAGGGCTATACACTCACCGGCCACTTTATTAGGTACGCCTGTCCAACTGCTCGTCAACACCAATGTCTAATCAGCCAATCACATGGCAGCAGCTCAATGCATTTAGGCATGTAGACATGGTCAAGACGATCTGCCGCATGTCAAACCGAGTGTGTGTTCATATGTTTGTTTGTGTGTGTACGTGTGTGTTCATGTATTAATGTGCATCTGTGTGTTTGCAGGCGAGTTCTGTAAGAACCTGACGGACTCACTGGAGAGCTCGTCCAGCACGCGTCTCATCTGGAGGACCTTCAAGCCTTTTCTGCAGGGAAAAATCCTTTACACACCTGACACCAACGTCACGCGCAGGATCATCAAAGAGGTACACACACACACACACACTCTATGTGCTCTATTTTAATGATCTAGGCACAAAGTCTAAAGCTCATGCTGCAAGAGCATTAAGGGCATGTCTGAATCCACTTCTGCTAAAATATAAGGATGGATAAATCAGCTCTGCGCCCGGCGCATGGTCTAACAGGGTTGTGCTTATTCTCTTAATGAGTTCTGGATGTGTTTTGAGCATAACGTGCATTAAACCAATCAGGGTCTCGTCTCTCAGTCCCTTTAAGAGTCAGTTGTGTCGCTCCATGGTGCATTTGCTATTTACATGGCGACTTAGTAAGTGTAAAAACTGAATGGTTTACTACAGAGAAAACAGTTAAACAGAGCATCTGCAGCACGAGGATAAAGAACGAGCCTCCTCCATTCTGCCTCTTTACTTTACTTTTACTCTTTACTCCTTTACTTTGGTGGAGTGAGGAAACGGTGGAAACTCCCTCCACTGAACACATCCATCCATAAGGCTGTCCGACTTCAGCTGGACAGCCTTAAAAATACTCCTATGATGATTTTGTTTTGAATGCTGCCATTCTTGTCCTCATGTTTACTCGGTCAGCGTGTGCAGACGTGAGTGTTGTTCAGCCGGGCGACTCCTGTTAGCTGCTTTCAGAGGAAACAGGAGCTTTTACTGCTGCCGGACGTGAAAATCACAGTGATTTGTTGCTGAAATGTCCAGCGGTGTCACCGTTTACTCAAGAGTTTGACCTTTAGTGCAGAAACACACACTGCTCCATCACTATCTACACTAGCTGTGTGTGTGTGTGTGTTTTCATTTTTGTGTGTGTTTGCTTGTGTGTGTTTGTGCATTTGTGTGTGTGTGCGTGTGTGTGTGTGTGTTTGTGTGTGTGTGTGTGTATTTGTGTATTTGCTGTTTGTGAGTGTTTGTTATTGGTTTTGTGTTTCTGTGTTGTTTTGTGTGTTTGTATGTGTGTATTGAATTGGTTTTTGTGAGTGTGTTCGTGTGTGCGTGTGTATTTATGTGCATGTTTGTCTGTGCGTGTGTGTGTGTGTGTATGTGTGTGGTTGCGTGCATGTGTTTGTGCGTGTCTGTTT